GCAGTCATCAAGTTTTAAAGATGAAATGAGGCGATGCATGTCAAGGACTTAGCGTGTTGCCTGGTCTGGAGTAGGAGATCAATAATGCTGGTTGTCCTAAATCACCCTTCAAGTCTTATTCTGAGATCACTTTCTCTCTAGCTCTTCCTGTGTCTCCTCCGACTCCACAATGACATCTGTCCAATACTGTGCCAACAATACTTCCTGCCTCCCACTCTTGCCACCTCATGATCTCCACTTGCAACCTTCCCCCTGACCACCTCCAGGCCTGTGGTCCCACTTCCATGCAGTGCTGTCTTCTGGGGTAAGATTGTGGGTCCCACTTCTTCATGCCTCATTAAGTCCACACACTTGCCAGGATCTCTGTGTAGTGCAGCATATATCCCTGCCTCTTAGCTTTAGCCTTGGCCATGTGACTAACTTTGTCCAGTGGTACATGGCAAAAGCAACAGTGTGGCAGTTCTGAGCCTAAGCCTGAAGAGGCCTCCCACGGTTCCACTTACTCCCTTATCCTTTGCCAAGCGAGTGTGGCCCAGTAGCCCTGTGATTCCAGGAGGAGGACAAGAGCTCTGTGGAGCAGACTCAGCGCTGCACATCTGCAAACTATGAGCAAGAAGAAATGATTGTTGTTTGAAAGTATGGAGTTTTAGAGAGGTTTGGTACACAGTGTTCTTGTGATAATCCAACCTCTCAATCTGTGGCAAATTCAACATGTCTGAGAGAAGATCTGATTGGATCATTTGGTCACCACTCAAAATGAAGCTCCTCAAAAACCAGTCACCCGTGAGCCAATTATCTCTCTTCTGTCCAGTCTGTAGATGCTGCTTTGGGCTGGGGCACTCATCTCTGCTCCAGGCAGTTGTCCCATGACTACACGGCATGTGACACAAAGCTTGGTGGCCTATTTGGAGGAATCATCTCTGGCCTCTTGTGTTCAAAAGGGGTGTGAATATGGCAGGCAGGAGTTTCTCCGATTCTCTTGGGTTCTGAAAAGTGATAGCTGAACTAGGAGGAATTGTGCGTTAAATTTTTTCTGAATGTAGCAGTCAGAATGTATCTCAAGCTGTAAACACCAGGATATAAGAAATGTGATGTTTCTTACAACTTGATTTAGTAACTATTTAGAGCCTCATTACGCCTAAGAGGGAAAGGATGAGGCCCAAGTTCACACAGACAGTTTGGCAGGGCTGGAGTTAGAACCCAGATGTCCTGGCTCCTTTTACAGTATCCCTTTTCCTGCCCAGTCAGTCTTATACTTGGAAGGAGCCCCAGGTCCCATCTCTAAGCCAGTGAAGCCCCTACTCCAGTCTCTCTGATCATCTGGGCTATGCTTCTGCACTGCATTGACCGAGCACCCACTGCTTGGAAGAATTCTAAACAACATCTGCCTCTTACTGAGTCCCAGCCTGCTTCCCTTTGTCCTATACCCACTGCTATAGTGACGCAGGTGGATCCCAAAATTGGGGCTCAGTCAGGGAGGGTTCTTGGCTTCATGCACGAAAGAATTCAAGAGTGAGCCAACAGAGTAAAGTGAATGCAAAGCAAATTTATTAGAGCAACAGAGTACGGGAAAATGGCTGCTCCATAGACACAGCAGCGCAACCCCATAGGCACAGTAGCAGTCATGGATTGCTGGCTGACTATACGGATAGCTGCTTTTTCATTATATGCTAAATAAAGGGTGAATTATTCACAAATTTTCTGGAAAAGGTGTGGGATGTTCCCCAAACTGGCGGTTCCTCCCCTTTTAAATCATATAAGGTAAATTTCGGGCATTGCCATGGCATTTGTAAACTGTCATGGCACCAGTGGGAGTGTCTTTTAGCATGCTAATCAATTAGAATTAACATTCCGTGAGGAATGAGGGCAACTAGAGGTTTGCTTTCATTGCCATCTTGATTTTAGTTGGTTTTGGCCAGTTACTTCACAGCCTCCTGTTTGAACAGATCCTGTTTTGATCAGTGGAGTTATGCCTGGGATTGTAACCAGTGTCGGAGAACAAGTCCTGCTGAGCTCCTGTCTCACTAGCCCTGTCTTCTAGTGCTACAATAAATATATGCTATTTTCTCTTTAATTTATAAACATTTACTGTAATTTTAAGTTCTATAGATTCTATTGCATTCTTTTTCCAACCTGCCTTTTAAAAAGTGTCTCTTTTGGCTGGGCATGGTGGCTCATATTTGCAATCCCAGCCCTTTGGGAGGCTGAGGTGGGTAAATCACTTGAGGTCAGAAGTTTGAGATCAGCCTAGCCAACATGGTGAAACCCCATCTCTACTAAAAATACACAAATTAGTTGGGTGTGGTGATGGGTGGCTGTAATCCCAGCTACTTGGGAGGCTGAGGCAGAAGAATTGCTTGAACGTGGGAGGCAGAGGTTGCAGTGAGCCAAGGTTGCACCATTGCACTCAAGCCTGGGTGGCAAGAGTGAAACTCAAACTCAAAAAAAAAAAAAAAAGGAGAAAGAAAGAGTCTCTTTTTTTGTATGATTTTGATTCCTTCTTGTATGCCTCCTATTCTTTTCAAAATACTTTTCTTTTGAGACAGGGTGGAGTATAGTGGTGCAATCAAAGCTCACTACAAGCCTTGACCTCTTGGGCTCAAGCAATCCTGCCTCAGCCTCCTGAGAAGCTGGTAAATACAGGCACATGACATCACACCTGGCTAATTATTTTATTTTTTTGTAGCTATGGGGTCTTGTGATGTTGCCCAGGCTGTTCTCAAACTCCTAGCCTCAAGTGATCCTCCTGCATTGGCCTCTCAAAGTGTTCAGATTACAGGTGTCAGCCACCATACCTGGCCTCAAAATACTTTTAATTATCTTCATCTGAAGCTCTTGGGGGAAGGGGGCGATGGTGTCTCTCACCATTGACTCTCATTTATGGTGAATGGCTTCCTTGTGTGTTTTGTCTTTTGGATTGCTAATTCATCTTCAGGGGAGCTCTATCTGAGGATATTTTGTGTAGCCAGATTGAGAGCAAGTCGCCCTAAAGTTGGCTGAGTTTGCTTTGCCAGTCATTTCACATCTTTATCTGGGGCCACTATGATAATTCTTGGTTTGGAGTTTCTAGTTCATATAAATAAGATAAATGTGTATATATATTATGTATATACATTTATATTATATATATAATATATATAAATTTATATAATGTATATATATATATATTTTATATGTATATTATATGTGCATATATATGTATTTGAGAGAGAGTTTTACTCTGTTGCCCAGGTTGGGAATCCAGTGGCACAATCTCAGCTCACCACAACCTCTGCCTCCTAAGTTCAAGCAATTCTCCTGTCTCAGCCTCCCCGAGTAGCTGGGATTACAGGTGCCCGCCACCACACCCAGCTAATTTTTGTATTTTTAGTAAAGATGGAGTTTCATCATGTTGGCCAGGCTGGTCTCGAACTCCTGGCCTCAGGCGATCTGCCCACCTTGGCCTCCCAAAATGCTAGGATTACAGGCATGAGCCACCATGCCTGGCAAATAAGTTTATATTTTAAAAGACCTATGTGAGAATACATTCTACTTATTTTCTTCATAGCATTAATTTGATTGATTATTTTCAATGACTACTAGGATGTCAGCTCCAGGAAAGCAGGGCCTTTGTTTCTCTGGTTTTGCTTGATAATCCCAGTGTCTAGACCAGAACTTGACACACAGTAGACATTCAATAAGTGTTTGGTGAAAGAGAGAATTGAAAACCTGCTTCATAGTGTGATGATGTCAGAGGCATTTAAACGAGAGCAATCCCATCTTAAGTAGCAGTTAGGTAAAATGAGGCTGGGACCTACTGGGCTGCATTTCCAGACAGTTAAGGCATTCTAAGTCACAGGATGAGACAGGAGGTCAGCACAGGATACAGGTCATAAAGACCTTGCTGATAAAACATTTACAGTAAAGTAGTCAGCTAAATCCCACCAAACCAAGATGGTCACAAGACTGGCCTCTGGTTGTCCTCACTGCTACACTCCCACCAGCACCACGACAGTTTACAGATGCCATGGCAACATCAGGAAGCTACCCTATATGGTCTAAAAAGGGAAGACGAATAATCAACCCTTGTTTGGCATGTTATCAAGAAATAACCATAAAAATAGGCAACCAGTACCCTTCAAGGCTGTTCTGTCTGTGGAGTAGCCATTCTTTTATTCCCTTCTTTCCTAATAAACTTGCACTCACTTTGCTGTATAGACTGCCCCTGAATTCTTTATTGCATGAAATCTGAGAGCCCCTCCTGGGGTCTGGGTCAGGACCACTTTCCTGTAACAATGGGAAGAATAAATGGTGTGTCTGGACTGTGTTAGCCTGCAAGTAGCAGTGTCCCTTAGAAACGGGGTCTGTTGTCTCCTTTAGATGCTGTTGCTGATTCAGGGGTGCAATGATTTCTAGTGGCTCTGTGATTGCCCTTTGTCTGATGGTTGCAAGACGGTTACTGTAGCTCCAGACATCACCTCCATATTTAAGGCAGAAGGAAAAGGGAGAAAGTAGGAGTAAAGGGGAAGCAGCAGTGATATTTTCCCTTTTATTAGGAAGGTAAAAGTTTTTCTGGAAGCCTAACAGCAAATTGCTGCTTTGATCTCATTTGCTGGAAATGGGTGTCATGGGGATTCCAGAAACAAGGGAACTTGGAAAGTGAACATTTCCCTTTGTCTAGACGCTATAGATAAGTAAATGAGGAAGGCGACTGGGAACACAGGTGGAGGTATATGCCAAATGAGACATATACATACTTTATATGTAAAGCACAAAGCGAGCCCTTAGAAAAGAATGCCTATTTTCATAATAACTATTATCTTTGCCATTTAAAGCTTTGCAGTCTTTGTGGTCCTGTTGGCATTGCATATTCTTAGCTTCTGGAACCAGCAGGCACCAAGGTATTCAGACCCCTAATGATCTCCCCCCCTTCCTCCTTGTACTGTTCAGAGCGCTAAAGCCCTTTAAAAAAAAAAAAGTCAAATTACATTTTTCGGTGTGAGCCACTTCCTGCTCTCGTTAACTCCATCTTCAATGATTTGGCCAGGACCTGCTGCCAGTCTGAAGGAGGTAGGGGAATGTACAAGTCAAAGACCCCTCAGGCCCAGAACCAGGTCAGTGCCAAGGTCACTCCCAAGGACACTGAGATGAAAACAGCAGAAGAGCCAACCCCGAGCCTTGGGCAGACCCTGGAGTGGCTGAGAAAGGAGCTGGTAAGGTTTTGCATTTCTTTTCCTTGATCCCCCGACCACATATTTTCCAAGGATCTCAGGTTTTCCCTCCCAGTTCCCCCCTGGGGCAGAGGCTGCCAGCCACAGTATGGACCCTGCAGTCTCCCCTCTGGGACCTGCCACACAATGCACAATTGTGATCTCAGGTTCGGGCATAAGTAGGTCGTGACCTACATAGGAGGCGCTGGGTATGGTGCTCGCCAGACTGGTTTTAGAATGACACTGAGTCCTGGGTGTGTGCCCAGCTTTGCCACCGTGAGGCCTCTAGTGGGAGCTTTACCTCTTTGAGCCTCAGTTTCCTCATCACAAAATGGAAATAACAATAGTATGAGTATCGTATGGGGTATTGTAAGAATTTACTGAAGAGATGCTTGTAATCCTCCAAATGAATACTTGGCACATGGATGCTGGCTGTTATAACCCTGACCCAGATGGACATGCGTACACCCCCTGTCTTAGCCTGGGTCTTCTAGAAAGCAGGAGCTTGGGCTAGGATTGAGAAACTAGCACTTTATTTGGAAGTACAAGCCCAGAGTCGCGATAGGGAAGGAAGTAGGTGTGGCAGTAGAGGCCAATGCTATGCCAGGCAATTATGCCAGACATTGTATTACCAAGCTGCCTATGGCTTCAGAAGGGGCCTTAAGGAGGTTCAGTGGGTGTCTCAGCAGCTGAGATCTCTGTAGGGGTTGAAGGAGGAACTGCACATTGGGGTAGAGAGAATGAGAGGAAATGCATCTGCCCTGCTCGTTCCTGTCTCTCATTTCCCATTGGCAAGGACCTCCCCCATGGAGCACTAACTCTCCTGAACTTACGTTATGTGACTTAGTCCCGTGGTTGCTGCTCAAGAAGCCAAGCTTATGCCTTTCATTATGATATTTTCTCCAAGTTCGAAAAAAGAGGGGTGTCCCAAAGTGTGTGGGGACACCAGCCAGGAGAGAGGAGGCAGTTTAGGGAACCTCAGAAAAGGTTCTCATTCTGGGGAGAGACAGACAGAGTTGTCTGAAAATGACCTTTCTGGATTGCCAGGCAACAGGGCAGCTGGGACCCAACTCTGTCTTCATCCCAGAGGAAGGGCTGACCCTGGAGGGCTTCTCATGGGACCAGGGGACTCCAGCAGCAGGGGCCACAGCTTCCCACAGTCAGCAGGCATCCAGCGCCCGGCAGCTGCCTTCCTTGCGCACCCCGAAACTGTGGGTGCCTGGGTGGCTCAACGTCACCTCTGTGCTGGGCACCCCACTGTGATCTTACAGGCACATATCCAGAAATGATGCTGAAGGTTGGACAAAAAAATGTGCAGGAGGAAAACCCTAAAATCGAGAAAACACAGAGTGAATGTTTTCTGAGGAATTAGGCAAAAATGGGCCCAGGACGGCTCACTCTGCAGCCTGAGCTGTCCCAGTGTTCTGAGGGAGGCTGTCTACAGCTTTGCTGCACGACTTTCTTTTTTCTTTTTCTGCGGGGGTTGAGGGGGAAGGAGTCTCACTCTGTCGCTCAGGCTGGAGTGCAATAGCACGATCTCGCCTCACTATCACCTTTGCCTTCTGGTTTCAAGTGATTCCCCTGCCTCGGCCTCCAGAGTAGCTGGGATTACAGGCTCACGCCACCATGGCTGGCTAAATTTTTTGTATTTTTAGTGGAGATGGGGTTTCACCATGTTGGCCAGGCTGGTCTCGAACTCCTGACCTCAAGCAATCTGCTGGGATTACAGGTGTGAGCTACCGCGCTCAGCCTTATATCTCTCTTTCTAGCTACCTATTCTCTTGGCAGTGTTACTCAGGCTTGAGTAGAGGATGCAGACTTGGTTTTCTCAATTGTAATCAGCTTGTCACAAAAATGAAAACACTATTTTAATGGGGAAATAATGTTCATAAGTATCTCTTGCAAAGACAGAGAAAGAGAGAGGCTGAGAATCTGCAAATCTAACCATGTGTTGCCCCGGCCAGCTTCGGAAGGGCAAACGGAAGCATTCGCAGTGGCTGTCTCTGGGGAAGGATGCTTGAGTTGAGGGATAAAGTGAGGTGGGATGGGAGAGACTTTAAAATATATGCCCTTTTGTAGCTTTAAAATTTTCTGTCATGTGTTAAGAATTACCTAGTTAGAAAATAGAATTTTAACATTTTTAAGAAAAAGCAAACTTTCAGAGCTGAGGTGGGAGGATCATGTGAGCCCAGGAGTCTGAGACTAGCCTGGGCAACATGGCAAGACCCTGTCTCTACAAAAAATACAAAAATTGGCCTGACGTGGTGGCATGCACCTGTAGTCCCAGCTACTCGGGAGGCTGAGGTGGGAGGATCAGTTGAGCCCAGGAACTCAAGGCTACAGTGAGCTGTTATTGCACCACTGCACTCCAGCCTGGGTAACAGAGTGAGACTCTGCCTCAAGAATAAACAAATAAACAGAAATAAAAGGAGAGAAAATGTATGGGAAAAAATTCCTAGAGAAAAATGGGAGAAGGAGTAGAGACAGCTGATGATAGTATAGTTCTAGTGGAGCAGTTCTCAAACTTTTGGATCTTAGGACCCCTTTATACTCAAAAAAATTATTCAGGCCACCAAAAAGCTTTTGTTTATATGAGTTATATCTATCAATACTGACTAAATTAGAAACCAGAGCTGAGACATTTTTAGTATACTTATTAATGCATTCTAAAATAATAACAAACTCATAATATGTTAATAAAACATTACTTATTCAAAATAATTTTTCAAAGCAAATATTTAGTGAGAAAAGTAGCCCCATTTTACATTGTTCCTAATTGCTTTAATGTCTGTCTTAATAGAACACAGCTGGATTCTGATAGCTGCTCCTGAATTCAATCTGTTGAGATTTTACATGTCATTAGCTTCTGGAAAACTCCATGGTATGCTCATAAGAAAATGAAAGCAAAATAAAAAGGAAAATAATATGTTAGTATTGTAATAAAAGTAGTTTAGATTTTGCTGACCCCTTTAAAGGGTTTTCCCTTGGGCAAATTCATTCAGGCCTCATGAGAGCATTGAAAAGTAAGCAATTTGCTTTCTGCTTTGCAGAGCAAGAAACCGAGGTGTTGGTGGATACGGCTTCCGTGAGGTTGTGTGACTCACAAGTAGGCTTGTCTCTGATGAGACAGCGAGGAAAGGGGCTTGATGGGGAAACACCTAGGGCTCCATGCATCCCTTCACAGGCTTCTTCTCTCTCCTAGTCTGAGATGCAGATTCAAGACCAGAGGCTCCTGCTCACACTGAGGCATCTTCACAGTGTCCTGGAGGAGCTGCGTGCTGACAGCGCCCACTGGGAGGACGCCAGGTCCAGCGGAGGGACATCCCCCATCAGAGCTCGAGCGGGCTCTGAAGGCAGGGGCTGCCAGCCTGTTTGTTCAAGGGGTCTGGCCCAGCTCCTGCGAGGGGAAGACAGCAGACGAAGCTCTCTCCCTTAACCAGACAGGGATGACACTGGGCTTTAACCCTCTCACCATTAGTCTAACCTTTCACTGTGGTGTTTTAGGGGCAGAGCATTGGAATGGGAGCCAGGAAGCCAGAGCTCTAGGTTCACTTCTGCCCTCATCTGCTGTGCATCCCTGGATCTGTCACTCAGCTTCTTTGTGTCTCTGGTTCCTTTTCTGTCACTTGGGATTTCTTTGTGAGGCACACATAAGGTACTGGATATGAACACTCTGACGGAAAACACAAACATGCTATAGTGTTTTGACAAGCACCATGGCAGTAGTCCTATCCTTGGGGATTTCTCAAAAGGCAATTGTTGAAACAAAAACTACATGTGCAGTAATGGTTACCAGGGTGAAAATTCCAAACCCTGTGTAGTGACTTAGTGGTTGTTTTCTGTCTTCCCAGGAAGCCTTCCCAGCCCCCTTCATCTGATAACATATTAGGCCCTGTAACCACCCTGGCCATAGAGATGGGTATATTACCAGGCCTGGCCAATGATATAATTCATGATTGCCCTAAAAAGATGATTGGCCCAATGGGTGAGCATGTGAACCAACAGAACGAATCACTGACCTTCCCTGAGATTGCTAGCTGGACGCTCTTTCTATTACACTTACAAGGCTGAGGCTGCTGGCGAACATGTTCCTACCAGGTAAAGAAGACCTGTTTGCAGTAGGAAAGGATGCTAACCTTCAAAGGGAAGTAGAGAGGGCCACACAACAGATGGGCAGAGAGGCAGAGCTCTGGCCTCTTTTAGTCCCCAGTTTTAGGCTCTAATTTTGTGAGTTACCCCTGTCAATGTCACCCCCCTCAACCCCACAGCCACTTACATAAATTTGTTTTTGGTTAAGCTGATTTGAGCAGAGTTTCACACATTTGCAGCTAGAATGGTTCTGAGGAATACGATCCAGATGTTCAAAGAATCAAAGAGGATAAATCAATAAGAAGATGGCATTTCCTTCAATGAGGGCTTGTGACAACATCCTCCATAACAGCAGGCAATGATTCTTGTGATACAGCAGAGACACTCAGTTGTGTGTGTGCTGCAGTCATAACAGAAAAATTACATCTGCCTATAAGAAAGACTGAAACAGAAAAGGTGAAAATAAAAAAGTCATGGTGTTAAGATGATCTGATGATTGGTAGGTCTTTTTGTTTTTGAAAATCTACCTGTATCTTGCTAGAACATTGTTTTTATGCCTTTGAAAAAGTAAATCAAGCCAGGAGCAGTGACTTGCACCTATAATCCCAGCACTTTGGAAGGCCAAGGCGAGCAATCACCTGAGGTCAGGAGTTTGAGACCACCCTGACCAACATGGAGAAACCCCATCTCTACTAAAAATACAAAATTAGCCAAGCATGTTGGTGTATGCCTGTTATCTCAGCTACTCGGGAGGCTGAGGCAGGAGAATCCCTTGAACCTGGGAGGCAGAGGTTGCAGTAAGCTGAGATGATGCCATTGCACTCTAGCCAGGAACAAGAGTGAAAACTTAGTCTCAAGAAAAGGAAAAAGAAAAAGTAAATTGATTGCATGCAGAGGCAGTGTGGAGGGGCTGCATTATAAGGATAATGTTTGCAATCAGATCAACCTGTGATTTTTATATTTGATAATATAAATGATACCTGCTCTGTAATGCTGGGGCTGGGTCCCTGCAAACCACATTTTGGTGTTGTTAGCTGCTTTCTGTTTGAGTTTGTTAGACGTTGCCAATATACAGGGTGGAGTTAGACTACAAGTCTAAAGGAGCGAAAAGGGACTTGCTGCTGCTGCTTTTTTCCCTGTGGACTCCCTGTTCCTCTGAGCATCTCCCAGCAATATTTCTTCACTACAGGCAGCAATTCCTTCATGAAGCACCAGACTTCTCCAGGATCCAGGTTCCAGACCCCTGGGACCTCTTTCAGAAGCTCAGAGACAACAGCTCCAGATGCCAGTCCCTCCTCCTCTGAAGTCTGGGTCACTGCCTTACCTACCTGGCTGTTTCCTGAGCTCAGAGGCACCAGCCCCAGTTGAACTGAGTTCCTTTCTCAGATATCTGAATTTAAGCTCCAGGGAATTCCTCTTCTAAGTTTTAAAGTTTTGATAGTTTCTGCCTCTTTTATTTGTTCCCTCAGCCCTGGAGGTGGCAAATGCTTCCTCCAATTGCTACCTTCAAGTTCTTTTCATAACATTTCAATCACCTAGTCAACAACTTTATAACTAGTTAACAATTCTTTATTTTAAATTTTCTGTGTTAAAATAACTGGTGTGGTTTCTGTCTCCTACCTGTCCCAGGCTGACACAGCTTTTTGCTATGATTACCAATTGCCACTGTAACCATTCTTTCCACTGGAAAGGCTAATGAATGGCACCTTATTATTGCTGTGTGATAATATTCTGATATGTGAAACCAGTGTCCATTGGCTATTATAAATGGACAAGCTGATTAGCCACTCTCACCTTGAGAGACATCTGCCTGGCCATGCAAAGTAGAAATGACATTGGTCTCCCATGCCCACTGCAGGCCACTAGCACCCTCTGCCTCTCCCTGCTTTCCACATTTGGGCCCAAAGACCAAAAATCCCTGCCAACCTCTCCATCTCCACTCTGGGAAAATAGACCTAGAGCCCCAGAACCTGCCCTTCTGGTGGGATATTTGTTTTTCTCCAAGACCCTACATTCAGAACCAATGTTTGCTTCCTGATCCCAGGTCAAAGGAAGCCCAGATGGAGCCCAGATGCTGGACAAGGAGTTGGGATGGAAATGACATCTTCAGCGCTGGTCCTAGAAGGCTGGGTTGGAAATAATGGGCATGCAGGACAGTGAGCACCAGAGGGAGCCTGTGGATCATGGTCTCAGAAGGGAAAATCCAGGGTTTTCTCTGCTAAGGCAACAAAAACAGGACTGCACACCTGAGCCTCCTATCCAGGATAAGGAGGGGAGTGGACAGAGATGGAAAAACAATTAATGAGGTCGAAAGCTAAAACTTTAGGAGCAAGAAGAACAGCTCAAGATGTGAAACCACGCTGGGCATGGTGGCTCATGCCTGTAATCCCAGCACTTTGAGAGGCCAAGGCAGGTGGATCATGAGGTCAGGAGATCGAGGCCATCCTGGCTAACATGGTGAAACCCCGTCTTTACTAAAACTACAAAAAATTAGCTGGGTGTGGTGGCAAGTGCCTGTAATCCCAGCTACTTGGGAGGGTGAGGCAGGAGAATTGCTTGAACCCAGGAGGCGGAGGTTGTAGTGAGCCGAGATCGCACCACTGCACGCCAGCCTAGGCGACAGAGCAAGACCCCTCAAAAAAAAAAAAAGATGTGAAACCTACAGCGGGTCAGGGCAGGCAAGGCAGGGCTTACTTACACTGTGACTGATTAGAAATGATGAGCGGCTTGCCTTTACATGAGAGCCAGCTTCCAGTCCTGGGTCAGCTGTGACACCTTACAGAGCCTATGTGTTGTGGTATATATTAGGGTGTAACAAACTGCCTCCAAACTTGAACACAGCAATCCCTTTATTATTGCAACAGCCATTTATTATTGCTGTAAATTATGTTTCCCATAGTTCGGGGCTCAGCTAAGAGGCTCTTGGCTTTGGGTCTCTCAAATGATTGCAGTCAGGTGGTGGCTGCCACTCAATTCATCGCAAAGACTTACTTGCTCATGTCTGGCAGTTGATGCTGGCTTTAGCTGAGGTTGTTTGCTAGAACACCTATACATGACCCTCCAGGTGGCCATAGCTGAGGCTGTTGGCTGGAACATCTATACATGACCCTCCGGGTGGCCAGGCTTCCTCATAGCATGTGTCAAGGGTTGGGCTTTACTTTCTGGTCTTATTTCTGTATCTTTTCGGGTCTACTCCCACTGCTAGAGTGGACCTAGAGTTTACTTTCCTGCTATTTAAAGTTTATAGAGAGGGAATCTGATTGGTCAGCTTAACTTTTGACACCTGGACATATCATAGGTTATTGGCATAAAGCAGATTTATTTTTGTCTTCCACCTCTCCTCCTTCTTTTTCCACCTCTTCTCATTCTTTCTCCTCCTCCTCCTCATCATCATATATAGGTAATAAAAAGGGAAGTCTTTGACATCAGGCTGCCTGAGACTGAATACCATATCTGCATCTTATCAGTTCTCTAACCTTGGGCATATAGTATCACTTTTCTATGATTCAGTTTGCTTTTCTATAAAGTGGGGATAATAACAGAAATTACCTCATAGGACTATTGAGCAAATGCAATGAGTCAACATGTTCCTGGCATATAAGCAGTGCTCAGTAAATCTTAGCAATTATTATTAATAATGACAGCTACCATTTTATTTTATTTTACTTTAAGTTCCAGGATGCAAGTGCAGAACGTGTAGGTTTGTTACATGGGTATATGTGTGCCATGGTGGTTTGCCGCATCTATCAACCCATCATCTAGATTTTAAGCCCTGTGTGCATTAGCTATTTGTCTTAATGCTCTCCCTCCCCTTGTCCCCCACTGACTGGTTCCAGTGTATGCTCTTCCCCTCCCTGTGTCGATGTGTTCTCATTGTTCAACTCCCAGTTATGAATGAAAACATGCGGTGTTTGATTTTCTGTTTCTGTGTTGGTTTGCTGTGGATGATGGCTTCCAGCTTCATTCATGTTCCTGCAAAGGACATGATCTCATTTAATTTTATGGCTGCATAGCATTCCATGGTGTATACGTACCAATTTTCTTTATCCAGTCTATCATTGATGTGCATTTGGGTTGGTTCCATGTCTTTGCTATTGTAAATAGTGCCACAATAGACAGCTACCATTTTTAAAGTCGCGATAGTTTAGTCATTGTAAATATGGCCTGGAGCCTCATTGCCTGTGTTCAAATCCCAGCTCTACAATAAATTGATTGTGTGCAAGTCATTAAACTCTCTATGCCTTGGTTTTATAATCTGCAGAATGGGGATAATAGTATCTCTCTCCTGGGGATTTTATGAGGAATAAATGAGTTAATACATGTAAAACACAATAGTGCCTTGTCATCTAATGAGGGCTATGTGTCATGTAAACTATTCATTATCATTATCAATATCTGCCCTAACTACCAGCATCACACAAGGCACTGTAAAGACCTTATTGCACTGAACACACTCAACATCTCTGCAAGGGTGCTATTAAATCTCCATCTTATGGATGAAGGAAGTAAAGTTTAGTGGAACTAAGTTGCCCCCCTAGAAAACACAATGAGTAAGTGGCAGTAATGGCACTGAATCTCAGGTCTATTTTCCACCTAAGCAGAGCTCGTACTACGACATGATGCTCTTCTGACCAGCCACAGTGGGGGACGGGTGCCATGGAGAGAAGAAGCAGTGATGTCAGGCTCATAGGACCTTCGCTCCCTCCTTCTGGCAGGGTGTGGAGCAAGGCAGTTTCTAATGAGTATGAAGGAAACTCTAGGACAACACCTTTGCTATCTCCCCAGTAAATAAGCAGACATAGAATCTGGTGACCCCAATAATGCACACCCATTCCTGCTCCAGGCATATCTTGAGCCCTAGTTCTGTCTTGTCTCTGTCACCCTGCTTTGTTTTGTCCAAACCCTCCCCAGGTCATGGGACAGCTTGTATTTTACTGGGCTGAGGTCAGTTTCACTGGACCAAAATCAAGGTGTTGGCCAGACTGTACGCCCTGCTAACTCTAAGGGAGAATTCTTTCCTTGCCTCTTCCAGTTTCTCGTGGCTGCTGGCAGTCCTCGACTTGGGCTGCATAACTTCAGTTTCTGTCTCTGTCTTCTCATACATAGCCTTTTGCTCTGTGAGTGTTAAATCTCCCTCTGTCTACCTCTTCTAAAGAATCACATGATTGCATTTAGGACTCACCCAGATAACCCAGGATAATATTCACATGTCAAGATTCCTAATCACATCTGCAAAGACTTTCCCTGGTATAAGTTAACATGTAAGGATTAGGACATGGAGGCCATTTTTCAGTTTACCACAGTAGTTGATCAACGAAAGGGAAGTTCCCTCTCATTCCTTCTGGAAAGCATTTTCTGGCCAATGTGCAGAGCTAAGAAGAATTTCACATAGCTGCAGGTTACCTTGGTCACTGTCAGAAGAGCTCATGTTTGTTGAACACCTACAATGCACAGGCATTGCAACGTACCTGACCAGTGAATAT